CGTTAACTTATGTATGGGATTAATAGCAGTTGCTGGACGTGCATAAATAAGGGGGCGGAAATTTAATACAACCAGTCAGAAAAGTACATTGTGGTAGAAAACTGATATAAACATCTCGATAACACATGTAACCGTTCATTGGGAATAATCACCATCACCTGAAGTCTATTCTCACTGTCGTTCCTCTCTCTGTCTTTTTTACATGTTGCTTCTGAATCTCTTACAATTCTGAATGCCGGTAACTCATAGGTATGAAACTAGTTGTTGTATACCTACGAGTATACAACTAGTTGTTTTTTCTTTTAAAAAATTTTAAAAAATGAAACTAGTTGTTGTATACCTACGAGTATACAACTAGTTGTTTTTTCTTTTAAAAAATTTTAAAAAATGAAACTAGTTGTTGCATGGGATTCTCTTGTTTCGCTTTTAGGGCTTCGGAATGCTCTTTGTTTAAACAATTGCTTGTGTGTAGGCAGTTTATGGAGTTATTATTTGATTTGTGGGTACCCCGGCTGTTCTGTGTGTTAGATGGTTATTTGGAGTTGTTTTAGTTCTGGGTACAGGCACACTCTTGTTTATGGTGTTTTGAAATTTAAGTTGGTTTGTAATTTTTTTGCACGAAATTGTGCTGGTTTTTTTATTATGCTTCGTTATTATTTTCATTTCTGAAATGTGACAAGCAGATTGTTTCTTTTAGTATGTATGCATTCGTGATCCAACTACACATTTGGCCATTCTGCTTAATACACGCAGGATTTTTTTTTTCTAAACTTTCATATAGAACTGTGGTCATTGCATAAGCATGCATTTGCTGATTCTATATGATGATGTGTAAGGTCGACGAAAGCATAAATTTAAATTTTATATAAAGATTAATATCAAATCATGTTCCTTATTCACTATGGCATCATCATACCATTGATATTTTATGTGAACCGAGAATGCACTCTCTCTACCGACAATGACTTTCCAATTGAACTTGCTTACTCTGTCCTGCTCCATCTGTTGACAGGTCCACCTTCCTCTGACTGAATACCAGAAGGTTTGGCCTCAATTGCTAAACTCTTGTCACCCCCTATGATTTCCTTCCTCATCTTTTTTAAATATAATTCATTTGTTCCAATTATAACCTTAACGAGGTTATTAACTCTTGATAGTTCTTGCAGCTTTTGCGTGACAGACATGAAAGAGAACACGAGCAAGTTGTTAATACTGTATGCCTCCCAAACTGGCAATGCATTGGATGCAGCAGAGCGTATTGGCCGTGAAGCAGAGCACAGAGGCTGCACTGTTAAAGTTTTTTCCATTGATGAGTTTGATGCTGTAAGTCTTCAGAATTTCTCTTTTTGGTTGCTCAAAATATGTAATCGGGCAAAATTTTGTTTCAATCACTGAATTATAGAAGCTCTAATCTTTAAGTTGATGATTTGCTTAAGTATTTGGATTCTTTTCCTTTGATTCCAAATGATTAAATAGTTTAATGAAAGAAAGAGGATTATTGGCTTGATAGCATTGTGAGCAATGGTAAGTTGGAGAATATAAACTTTTTATGATTCTAAAGCTTATGGTACTACAACTTCACCCAAGTAGTGAATTTGTTAGCTTGTCAAAATTTGTTGCTTGACTTATGATAGTAAGAAGTTATTTTGGTTGATTCCATATTATTTATACTATTGGGTGGGTGGTTATGTTGTTTTGTGCGGGAAGTTGACTCAGCTTTTGAGAAAGTGATAAGTCATAGAAAGAGTGCAGCTTAAAGAATTTAAACCTATGGGTGGAATGCAGTTTTTCCATAGAACAAAACATCTTAGCCTTGTTGAATTCCGAGTGAGCATCTTATGGTAGATGCAAACTGAGCAATCGCATAAGCTTGAGATGAATTTTGATGCTTTGGCCAATCATGTAGTTTGCCCATATTTTTTTTTGCAAATTTTTTAATAAAGAAAGGCCTAAAAGACTGATCCTTTTCTAGTTAGGTTGATGTTATTGAAGTTAGGAGAATGATATCTACCTATATGCTGTATGGAGTTAGTGTTTATAAGCGTGTAACTTTTTTCTTTGCTGCATCAGAGTTTCTTACCTCATGAGGACACAGTAATTTTTGTTGTTTCTACAACAGGCCAGGGTGATCCTCCAGACTCCATGAAGGTTGGTTAGATACTAGGATTGTTTAGGTTTACCTTTTGACAGTTGGAATGGTCTAGTTGCTTGTTTAACCTTAATTTCTCAATATCTTTTCTGATGTATGTAGGTGTTTTGGAGGTTTCTTCTTCAGAGAAATCTAAGCAGACATTGGTTAGAAGGAGTTCACTATGCTGTGTTTGGATTGGGTGATTCTAGCTACCAGAAATATAATGTAACACTACTCGTAGTTCTAAATTATTGATCATTGAACTTTGACTGATTTTCTTCCTCTCCGATAAACTATATATATAATGTTTTATGTCTAATCCTGGGACTTGAAACTCATCATGAGTGTAAAATTTTTGGCGCACCATCTGGGAAAAATGTTTTGTTTTATTACCGACCATCAGCTGTATCATTCTAAAAAAAGAAAAAAGAACACGAATGTAATGTACTGTTTATTTTCTATCAACAATTACAGATCTTCA